TGACCGGTGTTATAACTAAATGATTGTTTTATGAGCTGGAGAGGTTGAGTGAAAAGGGAGAAAGGAGAGTGGGAGGAGAAGGGGAGACAGGTACACAAAAAGAAGCATTCTTCAATTGGAGGCAGACATTATCCTGTGGTTCTCAGTTTTCAGCCCAGTCAGTCCTAACAGCCCCTATCTGTCTTCTGTGTTCTTATGCTGCTCTCTGCTGGCAAATAGCAAACTTTCCATGGAAAGGCTCAAGCAGGTTTTTTTGAACAGAGTTCACCTCATAACTCTCATAGAATGTGATAGTTGGCAGGGCATTTAGGATGGTAGAATAAGAACTCTTAGAATATAAAATGATAGAACTAAAAGAACCCTTAAACTGCTAAACGCAGAATATTAGAGCTGGAAGCACCCTTAGTCATAAAATAAATACAGAATGTTGCAAAGGCATTATTAGAACATATAATGTTAGAGCAAGAGGAGACCTTAGAGACCATTTCTTATCATCTCCTCATTTTCTGGACAGGAAAAGTAAGACCTAGAAAGGAGAAGTGACTTACTTGAAGTTATACCTAAGACCTAGGTCTCCTTGACTTTGAGCTCAGGTCCAGAAAAAAATAAATACTGAGATGGAGACTGTTGTAAGGATGAAATTAACTGAATACTTTAAAAAAAAAAGTAAAGTATAAAGTAATAATACAAATGTAGGCTATTATTGCAGGAAATAAAATGCAATAGAATTATTTTTTTCATTGTAGTACACATCTATATAGCACTTCACCTTTATAAAGCCCTTCCTTCATAATATTCCCATGAGAGAACTAGTACAAGTATCCTTATTGGATGAGGAAAGTGATTTGCATGGTGCCTGATACATAGTAGGTACTTAATATTTATCAACTGACTAACTGACTGACCATTGTGGTAGGTAAAAGATGAAATGACTGAGGGAACAAAGGTTCGAGCTTCTGAGCATACAGAGTTCTTACGCAATGCATGCCAATTGCCTAACAAGTCAGGACCAGGCCCCCTCAGTTTTGGCACTGGACCCAGAATATAGGAGGAAACATAATTTTGTGCATTAAAAACAATCAAATAAGACCAATTAATTAAAAGAAAACAATTAACCAGGATACTTTATCAGATAATCTGATTTCTAATTGGAGAAAAGATTAAGGACTTTCCAAGTTGTGAGGGTGAAAACGAACAGGTACAATTCCCTGCAATCAGAAAAACAGGTCTTTCTCTCCCTCCACGTGACTGTATACAATCAAAGGAACGTGGAAACAATAATTGATTGATCAGTATGGGGCCAGTTTTCAGATGTATAGTTATGAGAAAACTCCTTGCATCAATCTGGGTTTCTGGTCAGCATAACCTAGGTCCTTAGTTAAGGGTCTCTAAGCAACAGGTAGAGGTGGTCCAGCTTCCTAGCTGCATAGGGATGGGTTCAAGCAATGCAATAAAATTCTCTCTCAATTCCCACAATTGATTAAAGTTTTCTCACAAGACAGAAATTGGGCTAGACCCATAACTGGATAGAAAGGGAACTGAGCTATCTCCAGAATTGAATCACAAGATGGAGTCAGTGTGAATAACTCAATTTCCACAATTAACCACTCGCTGTCCTAATTCCCTCACCATGCTCACAACAACTCGTAAGAGTCTTGGCTGGGCCTTGAACTGTAGGTTTTCTGGCTCTCATTCAGGTTTCCACCAAAAAGAGTTACCTCTCAACTTGAAACTACAACCCATACATTTTAAAATAACTGTAGTCATATGACTCTCAAGCAAGTGTGCTCTCTCTTCTCAAATTTCTTATGGCATATTGCCCAGATCTTTCCATGGCATTCATCTAATTCTTCCTTGTGTCATGGTTTTTTGTGTCAATGTCTTTCCCCTCAATGGGTTGTGAGCTCCTTCAGGGAAGAGTCTCTGATGTAACTATCTCTGCATCTTACACCGCCACACAAGGTCCAGAACGTAATAGACATTTGTTGAAATCAAGGGCTGGACTTGAAGTCCTTGTGTTATATTGAGCAAATAATTTCCCTTCTCTGAACCTGTTTTCCCAACTATAAAATTAGGGCAGCTGGATGAAATGGTCTTTAAGATACCTGTAAGTAAGAGAATCAGATTATGTGATCTCCAAGGTCTCTTCTTGCTCTAAATCCTATGCCCCTAAGAAACTATGAAGTGATGAGGGGAGAAGAAAACAGACATTCTCGCCACTCTAGTCACCTAACCTGATGACTCAAACAGAAAATCCAAGCAACCCATCCCCTTCCTTTGCACTATCTCCTTCCTAGTAGCATTTGTATAACACTTTAAAGTTAGAAAAAAAATCCAGCTTTCTGAGTCAGGATTCAAGCTCAGGTCTTCATTTATTGTGCTACCTATATAGGGGCTATATGCTGTAAAGGAGACAGGATATGTTTTGAGTCCCACTTTGTCAAATTATAAGCCCCAGAAGGAACAAAAGCCTTCTATAGTTTCCTTAAGTAATGAATTCAATTCCCTCTTCTGTAAAATGGGCATAATAATAGTTTTCCTACCTACTTCAGAAGGTTGACATAGGAATAAGTGATATAAAGTACTATTAAATCAAAGCTGAAAGCCTTAGTTTAAGGTTGTTTTGTTGAAATTCTTGACCCAGAATTCTTGATGTCTCTCCTTGGAAACTGAGGTAATTTGGACAGACTATAATAATAATGATGATGGTGGTGATAAAAACAACTCACACCCCTACAGCATTTTAAGGTTTACAAAGCCCTTTATTTGCAACATCTCTGTGAGGTAGGTAATATAAACTCTATTATACCAGTTTTATAGGAGAAGAAATTAAGACTCAGAGTAGAGAAATGATTTGCTGACATCTTGAAGCTAGAAAGTGGCAGAACTGGAATTCAAACCCAGGTCTCCTGCCTCCCAGTCCAGTGATCTAATAGCTGGCCTAACTTGTGATACTCATCTTTATGAATATATAAAAGTCAGTTCCAGACTCCCAGCCCTGATATAGGGTCTTATCCAGTGCTTAGCACAGTGCCTGGCATATAACAGGCACTTAATAAATGCTTGTTGACTTGATTTGACTATCTTGTATGTACCTGATTTAGGGCAGCTAGATGACAAAGGCAATACAGCCCCAGGCCTGGAGTCATGAAGACTCACCTTCCTGAGTTTAAATCTGGTTTCAAACACTTACTAGCTGTGTGACCCTGGACAAGTTACTTAACTCCATTTGCCTCAGTTTCCTCATCTGTAAAATGAGCTGGAAAAGGACATAGCAAACCACTCCAGTATCTTTGCCAAGCAAACCTCAGATGAAGTCATAAAGAGTTAGACATGGCTGTCTTTTTTATACATAGCTGTATGTCCTCCCTATTATGGGCTCCTTGAGGACAAGGTCTGTTTCTGCCTTTTTTAAAATCCCCATCACTTAGCACAGTGCATATGGAAGATGCTTTAATAAATGCTTGATGATTTGTAGTTACACTCTGGACAGACAGCTCACAGGCTCATTTCCACTCCTTAGTGGGCAGTCTAGAGGAATTGCCATGATTTTTAAAAATTCGTCACCTGTGTAGTTGCCTTTTAGTGACAAGTCACTTTACTTTTAGCTAGGCTGGTCTTTGGATAGGAGACACAGTATGTCACTCAGCTTGTACTGAAGGATTGTCTAACTTAGTAACACCCACCAGAGCTTGTGCTCTGCTGAGATCATCTTCAAAAGCCCAGGGTAGCACACTGAGGAATCAAAGGAGGATTTTAGTGGAGGATGATGTCTTATACATTTTATAACCTTCTCACACAAGGTATAATAGTAGAAAAAAAATTTTAATCATTGAAAAAATTATGATCAAATGTTCACAATCCAGCTAGCCAGCCTATCCCTATGGTTTCTGTGAGACAGGTAAGGGTCTTGCTCTGTCTTAAAATAAGAGTTCACATTGTTCCTAGGTCTGATGAAGGGAAATGGGATCGATGAAAAGACAAGATGCAAAATAGGAGGAAAGGATATGTAGGGAGGCTGAACTAAGGAGGAAAAGATAATTAACATCTATAATAGAAGCTGAAATACAGGAGGCTTGGGGTGAGATGGCAGGCAACTGAAATGATGATGCTATGGATAATCAAATAGTGGGTAGGATGTGAAGATGAAGGATTAAGGGACTTACGGATGGAAAGGTTTTAACAATGCTTTAGTGTAACTTCCTTATTTTACAGATGAGGAAATTGAGAAAGGGTCAATCACACAGGTAATGATGATGATGATGACAATAACAATACTGCAATAACTGACACATACATAACACTTTAGAGTTTGCAAAGAAGAACTTCACATATTCATTATTTCTTTTGTTCCTCACAATAATCCTATGAGGCAGACACTGCAGGTGTTATCTTCTCCATTTTACAAATGAAAAAACTGAGCCTCGGAAGGATTTGCCCAAGGTCGAATAGCTAATACCAGAGATAAGATTTGAAAGCAGTGATGCTAACCCCAAGTCCATTATGCCACACTGGTAGTAAGGGGAAGAGACTTAACTCAAACCAAGCCCCTTGGCTGAAGACTCTTTTTACTACATACGCCATGTTACAATTTGGAGGGGAAGAGACAAGAGAGGACAAAGCGTGTTTGAGTCACAACGCCCGGATCTTGGAAGTACCAGGATATGAGATTGGGATCCAGGTTGGGGGTGGCGTACGGGCAGTATCACTTCTCCCTCTCCCCCATTCCCCATGCTACACCCCCACCCCAGGGCTTCTACGTCCGATTCTTGGACCAGATCCGGTTGCTTAGCAACGCTCTCCTCCCACCTTTTTGCCATCTCCCGGCCGCAAGCTTGTTGCTAGGGGGCGGGCCGACGCATGCGCAACGAGTAGCGGGAGGCCCAGTGCGTCACATCCTGTTTCTTTAGGGGAACGTGGCCTTCCCCTCCTCTCCTCCCCTTCCCTCCCCTCCCCTACAGCGCCGGCGGCGGAGCTGGAGCCGCAGCAGCCGCAGCAGCCGCAACAGCCGCAGCGATGGACTCGACCCTTAGCGAACCCCACAATGGCAGCGGCCCCGCCGAGTCCCCCGCGGCCCCCAGCGCAGCCAACGGCACGGCGCGGCCGCCCTCCACCCCCGAGGGCATCGCCCTGGCCTACGGCAGCCTCCTGCTCATGGCGCTGCTGCCCATCTTCTTCGGGGCCTTGCGCTCGGTGCGCTGCGCCCGCAGCAAGGTACGTGCGAACCGGCCCCTGGCCCTGGCTCCCCACCAACCCCGGGCCAGGACCCCTGCCCCAGCCGCCTCCTGGGACAGCCCAGCCCCGATGCCCAGCGCGCCTTCCCCCCGGGAGGGGGCACAGAACCCCCCCGCCTCGGCCCATCCGAGCCCAGGACCCCCATCCCCACCCCGCCCCAGTCACCCAGTCTCAGCGCGATCCCACGGCCCTCACTGTGTCGCCGCCCCGAATTCCGCCACCCACCCAGACCCGCTTAGACTGTGGCAGACCCCAATCCTCGAGCCACACCTCATCAGACACAGTTCCGCACCCACATGCATACACAAATACTACATATAATTCGAGCCTGGCCGCATGCACAAAAACACAAGCACCAACACAAAACCAGATGGTTTCCCAACCTGCCCTTGATAAATGCAACCTGCCCCAATCTTGCCACACAACACTTACCACAACCACCCTAAAATAGCTTCTACTTGACCATGGAACCCCCAGTCGTTCCTTCTGGGCCCATAGGAACAGTCTCGTTACTCAGGGGCTCTGCGAGTATCCCCACTGACCTTGATTTCTCTCCCTTTGGCCTCAGGCCCAAATTTCCCCCTTCCACCAGATAGACCCTAGATGAATTGGACCAACATCAATCCTTCATGGGACCTAATCGGCCCGATATCTGCCCAGATCCAGTCTCAACCCAAAATTCCCTTTCCTCTGATTGTGAAGAACCCCAGTATCATACACTATGCCTTCCTTCACCTCCCCCAAAACACACACCTTATGTTTACCTGGCTAAGGATTCAGGGCAGCCCTTGCCTACCAGCCTGATCCATCTGGTATCCAAAGGCCATAATTCATTCTCTGCCACTTCATCATTCTCCCAAAAAGCTCTAGCTAGCTTGGCCTTTGCCTGTCTCGGAGACCGAGCTGCTTCCAGCATCCTGTCCATCCCTCTATCACTTTTTCTATCCTATCCTTTTTAAAGGCTGCAACTCTATTCCCCCTGCACACCATCCCCAGGTATTCCTTAAGCACAACTTTCTACCTTTTTGGCCTTACATTCAAGCCTCTCTGATCCATGTCCTTGTCCTGATATGCCAAAGTCTTTCTCTCCCCTCCCCCAAATTAAATTTATCCTGGCTCCTATCAAGCTGGCCCTGTCTTCTGTGATCTCTCCATTCCCCCTTCTACCGTTTTTCTTCAACTCTACCACCCTATCTGTGTCCCTGACCTTCATTTTCTCATTTCCTGTAACAAAAACAAATTTATTTTGGCATGTGCCAGAGGCCACCTTCCCTCCCATCTTCCTAGTCGCTCTGGAACAATAGAACTTAAAATGAACTCTTCTCCTTCCCTAAATTGGCCTTTCACAGAAAAAACTGAACTGTTTATAGTCTGACAGCGACTCTTCCACATTCTGAAGAGATAGGTGCCTGGGTTCCCAGAATAGTGGCCAGTTTCAGAAATAGCTGGCACCTCCTTCTCTCTTATTGCCGCTTCCTAAGACCCCACTCCACTGTGCTTCCTGACAGTGCCATGAGAAAGTTGAGTCCCTTTTCCCTCCCAAGAAGGACGGAGCTTGTTGCTGTCCTGTAAGAGAAAGAAGAGCAGTAGTAGTGCTTATACTAGGGCCACTCTAGCTTGAGAAGAAAAATTAAAAGAGGCATGGAGGTGACCTAGTTTTTTGTACTTCTCCAGTACCTTGCATAATAATAATAATAGCTACTCACATTCCTTTAGAATTTTATGGTTTACAAAGCTCTTTCCTCACAACAACCCGATGAGGTAGAGTCCAAGTATCATTGTCACCCATTTTACATATGAAGAAACTGAGGTTTATCAAGGTGATATGACTTTATCATAGTCACAGCTATTGAGTGGACTATTAAGTGGAGTCTTTTGACTCCAGATATAATATATTCTCAACTATAGCACACTGCTGGTTTCAGGCATCTCTATGTAAGCCCTTAAGGTCTCCTGTTTAGTGGTATAGAAAAGGGATAGAACCATACCAGAAGAAGACTATAGGAGAAAGATAATAAGTGTCATAGATATTAGGGGAGTGGGTCACTTCCTCATTGAGATATAGACTATTCCCAACTGTAAGGGACCTTAGATCATAGAATGTTAACGCTAGATTGGACCTTAAGAGATCTAGTCCAGGTTTTTATTTTACAGATGGGGAAATAAAGGCCCAGAAGTGACTTTCCCAAGATCAGAGAGCCAGTCAGTAGAAGAGCTTGGACTAGAACCTAGATCTCCTAACTGTCCATCCAGGGCTCTGCTCACTACAGCAGACTATTCTGGCAAAGGCCAGATCATCAGGCCTTTACAGTGAATTGCCAGCTCCTGTTGCTTTTGTCCGAGTCTAATAACTGTGCTTTTAGGTTGCAGTTGGATGCTAAATTTATTCTTGCTGTTTGTGTCAGGGTTTCACTAATTATGTTTGTGTTTCAGAAGCCAACGCATATGCATAAGTGTACCTATTTAAGATCTCCAACTCGAAGTGGTCCAGAAACCTAACTAATTTTCTGTGGCTTAAAGAAACTTCCAGATAAGATCCAACATCTGAATTGCCAGCCAGGTTTTAAAATACTTAGTCTGATGTTATAAAAACCTGACATAGGAAAACTGGAAACTTATAATGATCTTTTTCACAGAGAACAGAACATCCACAGGCTATCTCCATGTAGCACCAACTTAAGAAGGAGAGATTTACATCAATTAAAAAAGTTACAGTAGATCAGAGCTTTGAGACCACTAGGTCTCCAGCCTTCTCAGTTAACAGAGGAAACTGAGGCTCCAAAAAGTGAGGGGAGGCTATATCAGGACTCTATTCTTGGTCTTATGTTTCCAAGAACAACATACTTGCCATTATGTCATTCTGCCTTTTGCAAATTACCTATACCAAATAATGTTTGTTGAACTCTTTTCTGTAGACAGATACTACGCTGTCCACACTATAAGCCCTATAGTAATTTTAATGAGTGTAAGGAAGTCAGTTGTAATAACTCCTTTTTGCAAGTAGAGAAAGCAACAGAGAGGATGAAGGCCTTGGCCCAAATTACATAATAAAACAATACTAAGGATAGACTCCAGGTCTGCTAGGCTTTGCTGCATGGAAGAGGGAGAAAAGGAAGCCCTGATGCCCAAGTTTGTCTTTCTTCCAGAAGGGAATGGCAAACCCAGAGCAGTGAGTTCTGAGTTCTTGGGCTGGTTTTTACCCATTCTCAAACTTTAAACAACTTCAGGTCATCTGACTAAAGTACCTGGGGGAAAAGATGTGTTCTGGGGGCGTATCAGTGCCCTTGCTTTAAACCCTGTATCCTTTTAGCCACAGAAAAGCAATTAAAGGCAGACTGGGAAATGTCCTGCCCAAAGGGACAAAAAACCTGGGTTTCAGTCCTGGCTGTATAAACCTCATGATGCTTACTTGCTGTAAGCATCAGCAAGTCACTTCTCTCTGTACTATAGTTTCTCCATCTCTAAATTCAAGGAGAAGGGGGAGGCATAGCGGTGAACTAGATAATCTCAAAGCTTCCTTCAGGTTCAGAATTGATTAATCTGGTGCCTTTCTGCAGCACCCTGGGATCCAGGGAGCTTCTGAGGCCTGCTCTCCCCTTGGAATACAAGAATCTAGAGCGTTTTCCTTTCACCCCTTCAGAGCTAGTCTGATGTGTGTGTCCTTCCCATTCTGAGAGTAGAACATCTTCTGTTGACTAGAATGGATCTGATGGCCTAATTTAGATTACTTTATTAATGTGTGCCAAAGGTATTTGTGTTTTGGAGGGAACACTGCCATCACCAAAAAAAAAAAAAAAAAAAGGAATCTGTTGGTGAATTTCTGCCTTCATCAGTAAGCCAGTGGGGCAGATGAGAACCTTCCTTGAGGCATAGGTGTTGTGGCCTGCTTGGGCAAGGATAAGGCAGGATGGAACAATTGGAAGAACATTGGACTTCAGGTTAGAAGGCCTGGGTTTGAATTCTGACCCAGCCCTTAAACTACCTGTGGGATGTGACCTCTCTGTTAGCAGGCTTCAACTTTTTCCTCATGTGTTCAACAGTCCAGCCAACCTGATCCTACATGTGCTATTCCATGTACATGGCATTTCCTCTCTTATCTTAGTCCCTTTCCATGGACTAGCCCCCATACCTGGGATGCTTTCTCTTCACAAGCATCTCTTAGGATCGCTAGTTCCCTTCAACGCTGAGTTCTAGAGTACACGCCTTGCTGTAAGGGCGTTTCTTGATTTCTCAGTATCCCCCTGAACCTATTTTGTATTTATCTTGTTTATCTTTTATATTTACTTATCTAAATACATATTCTGTGCCCCCTCCCTCCTCTCCTTGCCCCCATCACCTTCTCCCCCCATAATATATAAGCTCCCTGAGACCAAAGATTTTGATTTTTGTCTTTGTATCCACAGGGCCTATCAGATAGTATGTGTTTAATAAATATTTATTGAATTGAGAGGGTTGGATCTAAGGCCCCTTCCAGTTCTAAATCTTAAGATCCTCTAGAGCTCAGTATCACATTTCCACAATTCTGTCTTAGCTGGAAGGAACCTTAGAGGTTATCCCATCCAACCCTGCTTGGAACATGAATCTCCTCTTCAGCATCCCCACAGGTGATCGTCCAGTGATGGGGACCTCATTCCAGCATGATCCATCGTGGAATAGCTCTGATGGTTAGGAGGTTCTTTCCTATATTGAACTGAAAGCTCCCTACAGTTCTCTTGGTCCCATCCAGTGGGCCCAGTCCTGGCTTTCAGAGCCATATGAAACAAGCCCTCCCTGTGATGGCTCTTCAGGTACTTGAACACATGGATTGTGTCTCCCCTAACACTTCTTCAGGGTAACTAGCTCTAGTACCTCCCGTGGATCCTTCTTTAGCTTTTCAGTTTCCCTCTTAAAATAAGGTGTCCGTAGCTGAACATAGTATTGCAGGGATGACCTAAGCAGGACAGAGAATGTCATCACCTTATTCCCCATGTTTTACCTCTTTTAATACAGTGTGAGGACATTAGCTTTTTTGGTGGCCTCATCACATTTCTGGGTAATACTTGATAATTCTCTAGGGAAGGCCCCTCCCAGGTTTTTTTTCAAATAAATTGCTGTATGACCAGAGCTTACCATCCTGTATTTTGTATTGATGAGAGGAAACAACTTGTAGTGGAAAGGGAGCTAGAACCGGGTTAAAATTCTAGCTTTATCATTTAATCAGTTCTGTGACTATAAGCAAGTCATAGGTACATAAATTTAAAATTGGAAAGGATTTTAAAAAGTCATCTAATCCACCACACACACACACACGTTACAGAGAAGAAAAAAGTTAAGTTATTGGTGCAGGGTCACAGAGGTTGTCAGTAACAGAGTTGGGGTTTGAATCCAGACCTTCTGACTCATAATACAGCCTTTTTCTGCTACACCAAGCTGCCTTTAACTTCTAGAAGTTTTCATTTCCTTCTCTGTAAAATGGGAAGAATAATCCTTGAAATCTCTACCTCACAGGATTGTCAGGAAATCACAGTGTAAACTTCAATAGGAATAGAGGAACATCTGATTTCATGATAAGCCAGTGCTCTTCTTCTAATTGCAGAATGCCTCAGATATGCCAGAGACCATTACCAGTCGAGATGCTGCCCGGTTTCCCATCATCGCTAGCTGCACACTCTTAGGCCTCTACCTCTTCTTTAAAGTGAGTTCTTTGTTTCTGATCTGGATACATACTTATTTCTCCCTTCCTTGGTCCTGTTGTGGTCTGGTCTCCCCTTGGGAAATGTGGAAGAGGAAGGACTACCAATCACAAGGACTTGATAAGATAAAACCAGCCAAGGGCCTTCCACAGGGTCAGATGTGGACTTTGCCACAGGCTCAGCCCATTATGGTTGGGAAGGTATGAAAGGGGCCAGACACAATGCCATAAGTGTGAATGAAGGGCTAGAATGAGAGAGAGAAAGAGTGTGTGTGTGTGTGTGTGTGTGTACACATATATACATACACACATATATATACACATACATAGAGAGAAATTGTGCCTTGGGAATTTCAATTCAACAAACATTCATTAATCACTTTATACAGAGCACTGGGGCAAAAAGGCAGGTGAGATACAGAGAATACAGCTTTCATGTAGCTTTTAGCTTAGGAGGGAGAGGTGGCAAAAGATAGAACACATAACTGAGGTTATGAAGAGAAATTTATAAGAGGAACAAACAAAGTGTTCTGCAGAGCTAGAGGAAGGAGCAGTCATTTTGACTATGGAGAAAGGATGGCTTCCTGGAGGAGGTGACACTTGAACTGGGTTTTGAGAAGGATAGTTACAGGATTTTATCAGGTAGAGAGTGGGTATTCTGAGTGCAAGCAAAGCTGGAAGGAGGAAACATGGAAGGCTGTAGCTGTTCTGTGTAGCAGGGATGGCAGGAGTCAGGGAGCAGAGTGTAAAGATAGCTGGTATTGAAGTCAAGCAGACCAAGAAGGTCAGCCAAGTTCCAAAACGTGAGATCAGGAATCCAGGCCAGAGAGTCTGGGCAGGAGTCTGTCAGGAAGGTCCAGATCAGAGATTCTTAGCCTTTCGTTCCCTCTATGAATGGGATCTTAGGCTTTAGGCAGTTGTGAATTTGGATGGGGAGAAAGATTACATCTTTATTTCAGCATAACCAGTTTCCTTGGTAATCCTATGTATTTATCCATTAAAAAACATTCTAAGAAGGGATCCATAGCCTTCACCAGATTATCGTATTGATCTTTGGCCCAAAAAAAAAGTTAACCCCTGTTTTAGCAGAAAGAGGCTCAAAGGGAAAGTATTCAAACAAAGAAGAAATGGGACAGAGAAAAGAATTGGAGAGTTACAGAGATTAGAAAATCTTCATGATTAAATTCATTTCCATAAACATTTATTAAATTCCTGCTCTGTGCAAGGGAGAGCTAGGAAACCTGGCTTTAATTCTAGACCGCAGGCTACAATGAGTGATGCTAGTAATATAGTTGATGTTAATACAAAATACTTGCTTTTTGTCAGCCCTGAAAGGAGTAGAGGGAATGCTAAGAATTTCACGTCCAGTTTTACAGAGCAGGCAAAGTGATCACACAAGATTATATAGCTAGGAAGTGGCAAAGCCAGGACTCAAAAGAACCTCGATCTACTGACTCCTAACTTTAGAACTCTTCTTTGTATGCCAGGCTTCCTCCTTTGCATAATTAAAAGGAGACCCTTGGGAGTCTGTGAGTTCCTGGGGAGACAGTGACTAGTCGTGAAATAGCCATTATGTTATATTGAGAGACAGCACAAGGCAGGGGAAAGACCGCTGATCTTGGGGTCAGGAGACCTGGGTCACAGTCCCTGCTCTGACACTAGTAGTGTTTCCCTGAGCAGTTCACTCACTCATTCACTCACTCTCTCTCTGGAATGCACTTTCCCCACCTATAAAACAGAGGGAATAATATTTACCCTACCCACCTCATAAGGTAAAGCATTTGTTAAACCTGAAAGCATCGTAGAATGGGGAGATACTATCTCATCCTCCACGCACCCTTGGGAGATAAGGAAAGCCAGTATTGCCTTGAAAGGAGAAAGGTTGGGGAGTTATTATAAACTGGACACCTGCTTCCTTTACCTGAGAGTTGGTAATGTGAGCTTCCTCCGAGGGGGAGAATGATGAGTCAGTTGTGAATAGGAAATTAAACTGTAAGGTCATGCTTGTTGAATTGCAGTTCCTGAAGGTCTCCGGCACACTTCATTGGTTTCACCCATTCATATCTCACCTCTCATTGAGTGTACAGTCTCCCAGAGGAATAGGGGAAACCCAAAACACAAATAACTATGATACAGGGAAAAGGTTAAATGAAAACAGAGAAGCCAAGGCAAACTGTTCTGAGAAGTTTGAAGAGGAAATACTGCTACTGTCACCTCCTCCGGGAAGCCATCCTTTCTCTCTAGTCAAAATGACTGCTCCTTCCTCCAGCTCTGCAGAACACTTTGTTTGTTCCTCTTATAAACTTCTCTTCATAATCTCAGTTATGTGTTCTGTCTTTTGCCACCTCTCCCTCCTAAGCTAAAAGCTACATGAAAGCTGTATTCTCTGTATCTCACCTGCCTTTTTGCCCCAGTGCCCTGTATAAAGTGATTAATACTGCTACTGGGTGTGGGCTATTAGGAAAGACTTAATGAAGGAAATAGCACCTGTGTTGGGCTGTTGGGACTTAAAGAAGTGAGAGCTTCAGCAAATAAGAGATAGGGCTGCAGGGGTGGGGGCAGGAGGGATTGAGAGAAAGAGCCCTGTAGACATGGAATACAGTAATGAGCAAGAGGATGGAAACAAGAGGGAACAGGACAAGAACAGAGGAGAACAAATTGTCCAGTTTGGCTGGAACATAGTGTATGAAAGTAAAGGGGGAAAGTAAAATATAAAGCCAAAAGAGGGGTTGAAGTTAGATTGTAGAGAGCATAATATACCAGGATCCTGGTATAATCTGGTTTTAATTATTGCTTATTTGGGCACATGCCCTATCTGTCTGCTAAACTGTAACCTCCACAGAAGCAATCCTGGGTCAGTTTTATCTTTTCATACCTCCTACCCTTCAAGCTCATTGCTTTGAAGTATAGTAGTAGATGCTTTTAGATGCTTAATAAGTGTGTATTGACAATGACCACAGTAACATAAAGAAAAATAACACTGACATATGTAACAGCTCTGATCAGTGCAGTGACCAGCTGCTCTACAGAGGGGTGGTGGACTAGAGGTGCAGAATAAGGCAGATATTGGCAGACGTGGTCAAGACATTGCTTTGTTTTACTTAATTATACTTCCTTTTTACAGGGGAGGGTTTGGTTGGATGAGAGAAGAGTCACTAGAAGTGACAGTGATGTTTAAAGAGAAAAAGCACCAATAAAGAATCTTTTTAATGGATATTGAATAAAGATAGAAGTAGAGATCTTTAGCAGCAAAGTCTGCCTTCCTGATCTGAATAAAGCTAGGATGTATCCTACAGATGACCCTGGGTTAGGGCTTTGGAGAACCATGTTTTTGGTCTCCCTCTTTCCCCAGCCACAGAAACCACAGGGAGCCAGGGGACACCTGAGATTGCCTCGAGCCCTTGGCCCCATTCCTGTTTCTCCTGCCACAGAGCAGTAATGCCAGACCTGAAATGAAAATTGGTTGGTAAGAGTGGGAAGCAAGTCTTAGCTTTAGTGGTAGCCACACAGAAACATGCTTTCAACTACCTGTATGTGTATTTGCTTCTGTTTCTACCTCAGATCTTCTCTCAAGAGTACATCAACCTCTTGCTCTCCATGTATTTCTTCGTGCTGGGGATCTTGGCTCTCTCTCACACCATCAGGTAATGGGGCCCAGTCCTCTGCCACAGATGGGTAGCAGTTTTCTCTCAGGGGAGGATGAGGGATTTCACAGCTGCCTTGTCATTGTCTTCATCATCCACAGCAGCAGCAGCAGCTCATATTTGTATTGCCGTTTAAAGTTCACAAAGCACTTTTCTCACAAAAGCCCTGTATGGGAGGTAGTGAAAGCATCCCCACTTTACAGATGAGGAAACTGAGGCTCAGAAAGGTGTAGCGACTTGTGCCAAGCACACATCTGGTAAGTGTTAAGAGCCAGGATTCAAGCCAAGGTCTCTCCTGGTCCAAAGTCTAGCGCTCCACTTGCTGCCTCTCATGAGCAAATGTTTATTGAGCACCTACTCTGTGCAGAGCCCTGGGCTTTGTCCTAGAGATGATAGAATCCTCAGCAGAGGACAAAGACAAGGTCAATCACCAAATCATAGAATGTAGCATGTCAGAGCTAGGGGCCTTAAAGAGCATCTAGTCCAGTCATTCTCCAGATGTGCTCAGGGGACCCCTGTGGATCTCGAAAACCTTTCAGGAGATCCCTGAAGTCAAAACTATTTTCATAATTATACTGAGACATTTTCATTTTTTAGTGTCCTTGAAGCCCTGTGGTCACTCTCTCTGTAAAGAAAAATCAGTCTGGGCTAGAGAGCCTCTAACACATAGGTTGAGGGATTGGTGGGATGCCCTCAGGATCCAAGCTGGGGAGTGGTGGGTCTATGCTTCTCCCATATACCAGACACCAAAGTCAGTGGTCTAGAGCCCAACAGACGGACTCTGAAGAAGAATGATTCTGTTGTATAATCATTCAGTTGAACAGGGACTCTTGACTATAAGTTCCGTGAGAGGAGAGAGCATGAGGGAAAGAATCTTAGAATTCATTTAGTCAAATAGGTTTTTTGTTAATTGAAAAAAAATTTCATACAGTAAATATTGATAAATATAACCCACATGAACAAAAGCTCTTTCAAGGGTCATCAGTAATTTTTAAGAGTGCAAGGGGGTCCTAAGGCCAAAAAGTTTGAGAACAGTTGCTCTAATCTAACCGCTATGCTTTACAGAAAAAGAAATTGAGGCCTGCCTAAGATTACACCAAGAGTTAAAAGTAAAGCCAGGATCAAAATCCATACCTCCTGATTCTTGGCCCAGTTTTTTTTACACTATGCCCTGTTCCCTTGTAACACTCTTCTAAAGGTGCTTGGGGTAGCGACAGCCTTTCTACCTGATCTCAAGAGAGCACAGTATTTATTCTTTGCCACAGGGAATTATGGCATGATATGAGACCCTCTGTTGAGCCCAGCCGACATAATGTGATTGCATGAGTGTGTCTGTGACAGGTTGCACTCATTTTACCAACATTTCATCTCCATTACGACTCAGGAAGCTGGGGAGCCTCAGGCAGGGGCAGCCTGAAGATCTTATTGTGCTTTCAGTTTCTGCAAGTCACATTGGTATCTGGACCCTTCCCGCTCATCAGGGGTTTCCTCCTAACACTTCCTTCCTTGCCAGAAAAGCGCCAGACCTTCATTTTAAAATATTTAGGCTCACATGTCATGCTTCCTCTTTGGACCCTCAGTGTGACTCGGGGAGGAAGGGTAGCCCTGGAATTCCTGTAGTGGAAAAATTTTGGAATCCAGTGGGCCTGGGTTTGGAATCCTAGGTCTCTTTCTTAATTCTCTTGTGACACTGGGTAGGGGTTTCTTTCTGAGCCTCAGGCTCTTCTTCTATTTAAAAAAAAAAACAAAAAACAGTTAAATTTGAGGACTTCTAAGTGCCCTATCAGTTCCTAATCCTATGATAATCTGTGACCTGGGTTTGAATTCTGGCTTTGTCCCCCTACTAACTGGGGCACTGGGGAAAGACCTAGAAATCAGTCAGAGACCCAGCTGCCCAAAGTTCTCTGGAAGACTTTGCACTGCCATCAGTTCCTCTCTGGACCTCAGTTTCCTAATCTATAAAACAAGTATAAAATCCCTGCCCTGCCCTCCCATTTATATTGTCAGGCCCAAGTGACATGATGGTACAGAAAGCATAAAGTGCCGTAAGAACATTAGGAACTTCTGTTATTTGGGGGGAATTTGACCCACGATACCACCAGTTTAGAGAGGCTCCCTCCCCCAGTAATAGAGATATTTGATTCACTTCTGACTCCACATCCTGTAGCATCACATGAAGCACTGAGAGGTAAAGTCACCCAACCAGTGGGTGTCAGAAGTAAGGTTTAAAGGCTAGACTTTCCCAACTCCAAGGTTGGCCCTCTCTCCCCTGCTGTTGCCAAGGTGTATCGAATTGTATGGTGTATCGAAGCCCTGAGCCAGATGTCAAGATGGACACTGCCCTTGGCATACCTTGAGGTACCCATTTCAACTCAGAATCTCTGTTCACTCTTCTCTCCAGTACATGGTATTTCAATTCTGCCTCATAGAGCTGTAATGAAGAAAATGCATGGTGAACTTTCATGTGCTGTAGAATGTGAGGTGCTGCTGCTGTTGCTAATAATAGTAATGAAAAATCAAATATGGCGCTTCCCAAACAAGTTCAGAACTGTCACAAGCAGAGGCCAGTGTCCCACTTGGAAAAATTGTGGAGTCTTCCATGGGATCTTTTTTGAGGGATTTCTCAGTCCACTGCAGCTACTTTTAGGGACTCAGAAGTTTTCACATTCGGTGATGCTAAAAGCAGTAGACTTTTATTGCAGGTTCATTTTAACTCATGAAAAGGAAGAACAAGGGTTAATTTGAGATATCCAAAGCTATGCAAGGGAAGAGAGTTCCAAGACAAAGGCTCCCTCCAGATCACTTTCTTCCTTTTTTTTTTTTTCTTTTTAGACAAGTGGGGTTAAGTGACTTGCCCAGAGTCACACAGCTAGTAAATGTTAAGTTCGGTCTGAGGTCAGATTTGAACTCAGGTCCTCTGACTTCAGGGCTGGTGCTGCACTACTGGCCACCTAGCTGTCCCTTTTATCTCAGGCTCCTTCCTTTCTTTTTTTTGTTTTGTTTTGTTTTGTTTTGGTTAGGCAGTGGAGTTAAGTGACTTGCCCAGGGTCACACAGCTAGTAAGTATCAAATGTCTGAGGTCACATTTGAATTCAGGTCCTCCTGACTCCTGGCCTGTGCTCTATCCATTTGCGCCACCTAGCTGCCCTAGATCACTTTCACCATTGACAGATTATACCAGGTGACAGCCACTAGTGGGAGGAGAGGCCCCATGGGGTCAAAACATCCATGCTACAATTGGCTAAGGGACTTTGCTAGGTCTTGGCTAAGGTGTTCTTCAGCTTATAGCAAGAGAAGGGAAGAAACTGATGATCCCACATGATGAAGCCCATCAGACCTGGTACCCAGAAGCTAGGTTCTCTTCTCTCTTTGTTCAGTGCAGAGTGAGTCCTGTCTCACAACAGGACAACAGATAGGGAGAGATAAGAGTCTCTCACATATGTCTGATTAGTTTCCTGTCTCTGATATCACAGTCAGGGAAGCCAGTTAGTGAGCTTGTATAGTACATGGAAGTTTTTAGCATGTAAAGTTCCAGGAGTAGAAGATTCCAGAAACAGAAAGGGAATGCCAGGTAGGAGCTTAGAGCAGAGACAACCTATAGTAAGAAAGGCTCAGCCTGAAACAAACAGGTTTTTCTAACTGCCACCCCTTACTGACTTAACTGTGCAGCTATGCACAGTTGCACCCTGAGGCCTTCCTGGCCACCTGGACTTGCCACAGAGAGTAGCAGTTCTTAAGCATCTTTTGCTCCTAGCATAATATTTATTCTTTGCCGTGGGGAATTGTGGCATGATATGAGACCCCCTGTAGAGCCCAGCTGACACAACGTGATTGCAAATGTAAGTTCCCTGCGGTTTCTGGAAGATGTGGAAACTGATGGTACAGCCTATCCATACCCTCTGAGAATCAGCAATGTAAAAGGCTCAAAGCAAATCCCACGGTTAAGGTAAATCCCCACCATTCAAGCAGTGAGTCCTGGGATATTGGATTCAAGGTTTATGACCTTTTCTTAATTGGTTCCTAAGGCATAGGAAAGAGGTGAAAAAAAAAAATTTGAAGTGTTAGCAAACCCAGTCATGTTTGGGGGGAAAGGTTCTCTAGTACACCCACCCCAACCCAACACTGTTGGAAAGATAGAACCTAAAGGGTTATATAAGCTCTGATTTAACTATATAACAAGCTCCTAGAGCAGAGGTGGGGAACCTGCGGCCCTGAGGCCACGTGTGGCCTTCTAGGCCCTTGGATGTGGCCTTTTGACTGAGTCCAAGTTTTACAAACCAAATCCTTTTATCAAGAGGATTTGTTCTGTGAAGTTTGTATTCTGTCGTGTGATCTAGAGGGCCACACTTGAGGACCTAGAGGGCCACATGTGGCCTCGAGGCCAAAGGTTCCCCACCTCTGTCCTAGAGGCAGACTCCTGGTGTGTGACACCAGGACTTCATCCTTTGCAATCAGCATGTTTCTCTAAGGGACCTTTTGCTACCCTTTGACTTGGGGCTATGTATTACATTTGCCTGTTTGCTGAAGGTTGGGTCCACAGTCCTTTACTCTAGTGTTGATCCCTAGTAAAGACTGAATCCAAAATTGCCTGTCCATGAACTATATCTTCTCACTCTCTAAGGGTTGTCATAGACTTATGATTGGCCAAGTTGGAGAGCTATTCTTTTCAAGGGAGGGAAAACAATGGAGCCTTTTCTGAAGAGTCCTGCCATCACCTTCATGAGGCTATTCCTTTCCAAACCTCACTGTTCCCATTTAAACACCTAGGATTCATTCAGGAATCAGAGGTGATATTCAGAACCATCACTTTGGCTTCCATGAGCAATAATAAGCAGCCTCCTGATAGATTTCCCCTATTGGAGTGTTGCATTTCCCCATGTCAGCAATCCCTACCACCAGTTTGGTCCTCTGTTTCGTTAGGCCCCTATTTGTGTTTGTAGGGATAGACATACTATGAAGTTTTTGGAACCCAATGCATGGAACTAGAATCATAAGCACACTGTGCGCTGAGCCCATGTAGCCACTTACATCAATTCTACCACTTGATAGCAGTAGGTAAGCCATTCTCTGAACAGTATCTCCGCTAGAGAAAGGAAAAATGTGTTGATACAGTAAGAAAAACATGGTTTTAGCTACTGTTACCCAAAGGCACAATTGGAACTGAACTCTGAAGCGATTTCTTTTAAGTGTCCTAGACAGGCCAGTCCAATTTTTAGCTCCATTTGTTTTGTTGTTCAGTTGTGTCCAACCCTTCCTGAGCCCATTTGGGGTTTCCTTGGCAAAAGTACTGGAGTGGTTTGCCATTTCCTTCTCCAGCTCATTTGACAGATGAGGAACTGAGACAAATGGGGTTAAATGACTTGCCCAAGGTCACACAGCTCGAAAATGTCTGAGGCTGGATTTGAATTCAGGTCTTTGTGACTCCAGTCCCAGTGCTCTATCCGCTGAGCCACCAGCTGCATCATTTAGTGTATTTTAGCTAGTTTAATACCTAACAAATTGATGGTCATGTGCCTAAAAGGAAAATGCTTGTAGGAGCAGAAAAGGATCCTCGTGGGGGGGGGGGAACATTCCATGGGTTCTAGACTATAAGATAATTAAAGATTCCCCCCTTTTCTTACTTTCCATTGACAATACTTTATTGTCATTGCTTTAGTTCACCATCCCTTTGCTCAGGTTAAATGAAGAATTCTAAAGCTGTCAACTCTTGAGGGTTTGAACTTGAGTTTTTTCTTAAATCTCCAGCCTAATAGCTACTCCACAGTGTGAATTGTGTGTGTGTGTGTCTGTGTCTGTGTCTGTGTCTGTGTCTGTGTGTTAATGTCGGTCTCCTGCACAGCACTCCTGCTCTGCTTGACTCACCTGGCATACAGTTGACCCTGGGTACTCAGCAGTTGGAGCTTAAGCTCTACTGGAGCTCTCAAAGGTTCTCCCAAGCTTCAGAGTCGTCAGGCCCAGTCTACAGCTGGTCCTTAGGGCAGGCAGTACCTGAGCACCTACCTAGTTGCATTCAAAGCTAACACTCTTCAGAACCCCAAACAGGAAAGGAGAACTGACAGATGGAATGACAGGCAGGATCCCAAGAAGTCTTGAGAGGCCAGAGCACTGGACTGAATCTAATAAGGATAGAGATAAATGAGGGACTCCTGGTCCCAGAATAAGATGTGGGAGGCCTGGAAAGAAAGGAGCTGTCCTGAAAAGAATCTGGGGGTTTTAGTGTCCTGCAAGCTCAATATGAAGCAGCAGTGTGACATGTCAGCTAAGAAAGCTAATGCAATGTTGGGCTGCAGCAAGAGGATAAAGTGTCCAAAAATAGGGAGCACCAGACCTGCTGACCTCAACTCATCAGACCTCGTCTGGAGTATTAGGTTCAGTTCTGGCTGCCAGGCTTTAAGAAGCACATTGATAAATAAGCTGGCAAGTTAAAAGAGGAGGGCAGCCAAGATGGCAAAGAGCCCCAAGCCCTGAGTCCTTGTCATGAGGATCATGAAGGAAGTGGGCATGTTTAGCCTGAAAAAAAGATGCAGAGGGGACACGATGGCTGTGCTTAAGCATTTAAAGGTCTGTCGAGTTGTTCTGTTTGACCTCAGAGGCCAGAACCAAGAGCACTGGGAGGAAGTGGCAAAGAGGCAACTTTACACTTAATGTCAAAACACTTTGTAATGATTAGAGCCGTTCAGAGGTAGAATGGCTTGCCTCCAGAGCAGTGATTCTCAAAATATGGTCCAGGGATCTCAGAAAGCCCAGGGTCTTGGGGATTCCCCAACCCCTGGGCTTTCTGAAATCCCCTTTGGAGGCTGGGGAGGGGGTTGTGAGGTCAAAACTTTTCATACTACTAAGAGCTAAATTTCTAATAGTGTAAGTAATGATAGCTTTGAGCCACAAATCCAAAATTTTTCTGGGGGCCCTCAATAATTTTTAAGAGTATAAAAGGGTTCTGAGACCAGAAAATTTGAGAGTCACTGCCCTAGAGTTATTAGGTTCCCCTCCTCGGGGGTCATCAGACCAAGGCTAGAGGACCACTTGTGGAATATTTCTTAGTCGGGGCTCCTTTAGCATATAGGTTAGACCAGATGACCACTGAGGTCCCTTCTAGCTTTCTAATTCTGTGATTCTGTGGCACTGACCAAAGTTTATTAAGCACTTAACTGTTCATTTGTCCATCATCAGGCATTAGATGTAAAACAGCCAAGACGCTGAAAGTTTTGGTCCTTCTGATTCTTCCCACCCCTTGTGTAATGTGTATCCAGCTTACCCCTGATTTGTGTTCTGGATTCCCTTAAAATTATTTTTCCACTCTTCTCTGGCTCTCTTCTTGGCAGCCCATTTCAAAAAGATACTCCCATGTACACACACAAACCTCACGGCAAAGTATAACCATTTTTTGAAGGCAAAGCCTCTTCTTCCCAGTTTGAAAACATTTAAGCCACACCCACATCAGGTTTGTATTGTAGTTACAGCCCACCCTTCCCACTTCCCAAGTTAGGCCTTCTTAAGTGAACTGGCCTGAGCAGGGGAGTCAGCTAAAGTGTGAGAGCCACCATCCTTGGAGCACCCTCTCTGCCTCAGGGCTCCTGGCTGACAGCTGAGCATTGAGATTCCTTTTGTGGGAAGGGTGTCAGCATCCATCTAATCCAAACCATAGACAGAAGGAGCCGCCACTCTTTCCACATTCACATCTGCGTGAATACCTTCAGGGAGAGAGAAACTGCCTTCTCTCCTTAGTCCAGTTATGTACCATCCTCCTTTCCCTGCCCAGAAGACCTTCGAAGAGGGGGTAAGTTGCAAATCTATACATGTGAGCTTACATGAGGCTGTGCATAACTGCACAACCTGGGAGAAGGGCTTCCAAACCATTCTTCCAAAAGCAAAGCGCCTTTGTGAAAAGGAATGAAGGAGAATCCCCCCCACACACACACTTCTGTCAGAGTTCTCTCAGTCAGCTGGTCCTGAGGCTCTGGGTGCACGCAGGCAGTGGACCTGGAGAAATGCTGTTCTGTGGAGCAGATCAGGGTTGAAGAGGGGTTTGTTTCTCAGGAGTTAAGAGCAAGAGCTCAGATAGTCTGGCCAGGCCCCCCATACTGCTTCCAGCCCCCTGAGAACAACAATTATCAGGAATTAAAGGAGTTAAAGGAAATTGTAACACCCAGCACTAGAACTTCCTCTCCCACCAGACATAAAGACTTCAGCACAGATGCCAACTCAAAGGACTCTCTTAAAGGAGAGAGACTTACACTAGAGCCAAAGCTGTGGGAGGCCCAGCATGTCCAGGGATGGCAGCATCTCCATGTCTCACTCCAGTGCATCACCAGCTCTGGCTCTGGAAGAGAATTTCAATCTTCATCATCAAGGTGCTAGAGTAGGGGAGTTGGGCTCTCAAGAGGTAGCCCCCCACACTTCGTGAATCCCTGCCTGAGATGACAAAAGAAACACCTACCCGTCTGCAAAACAGAATTCACTTCCAGCACCATGTTTTCCTAGACCATTGCAGAGCTTTATAGGATTCGGAGGTTTTCACAGGACAGGAAAACCAGTCAAGATGCTCAAAGCAATAGATCTTTTTAGCTTAACAAAAGAAGATGTAAGGTCTAACTCAGGATGGGGCAAGGGAATAAGAGTTTGGGGCAAAAACTGTTCAGATCACAGTTGAAGGAAAGATGAGTATACCTGGGCCATAGCTCCTGCAGGAGCAGATAAATGCAACCCCAGACCCAGATGAGGGAGTATTTGAGGATCTTGGGTGAGACAGACGATCCTTGGGCTACAACAAAAGAAAAAGGGCCTCCGTGTTACTAAAAAAAGACCTCAGGCCCAAAGGGGAATTTATTTGCCATAAGCCTTATGTGTGAATTACCAGATTTCAGAGGATTAGAAATTGATAAAATAATCTGCTAAATAGGAACTAATCCGTCTTTTGATTCAGAATCTTGTAAATGTGCCAACGTGTGGAAAGAGCCCTACGTGTGGAGTCAAGAGACCTGGGGTTTAGATTTGACTCCATTCACTCTGTCATTTCCTAGAAAGTCCAGAAACCTCTCCGACCTTAAGTTTCCTCTTCTGTAAAATTAGTACAATAATGATATTACCTGCCTCAGAAAACTGCTGTGAGAAAAATACTTTGAAAGATTGTGGAAATATGTTGCTACTCCTGTGAAAATCAACTCTCCTGGCAATGAATCCAAAGGACTTGTGTTTCCTTGGTTCCCAGCTTTTAAGGAGGAATCAGTAATGTTCTCATGTCTGGGGAACTCACACAGTAAGCCTTAGTCCTGTGCTGATCCCATTTTACAAATAGAGACCTTGAGACAAGGGGCAGGGAAATGCTCACCTTTCAGTAGCACTGTGTAGTTTGCAAATTGATTTGTCATGAGTCTCATAGTAGGCGAGCAGGACAGGTAATCTTCATTTTACAGGTGAAAAAACTCAGGTCCAGAGAAGAGGGGTAACTTTAATCCAAGGTCACATGACTAATACATGGCAGGTCTAGGACCCAACTGTAAGCCCCTTGACTCCTGACCTGGCATCTTTCTGCTGCTTCAGAGGAAGGTTGTAAATTCCAGCACTTAACCCTAAGTGTTGAGGGCATAGATGAGATCCAAATGGATGTGACCGATGAAACTTCTCCCACATTATCCAGGCAGCGTGTTGTATTCACTCTCCATGTGACCATGGGCAAATCACATCACACCTTTGAGCCTCGGTTTCCTTGTCTGTAAAATGAGAGAGGTTCACTAAGTTCTCTCTACTGGTCTTCCTGCCTTTAAATCTCATGAACCTGTAACTGCAAGTCTGTTCTTTCTATGGGCCCAGTCCTCAGCCAGGGATTCAGCAAGCTAGGGGGAGCGTCAGGGCATCCTGTCTCCCAGGCCGATGCATTCCGGCTGTGCCTGTTTTGATGTGACTTCTAATTTCTCTTCTCTTCTAGCCCCATCATGAACAAGTTCTTCCCAGCAAATTTTCCCAACAAGCAGTATCAGCTACTCTTCACACAAGGCTCAGGGGAGAATAAGGAAGGTAAGTCCTTAAGACAACATCCCTGTAGGCCTATGAAGGGATTGATCGCCTCTTCATTTCTTCTTCCCTTCTTCAGTAATTTTTCTCTCTGAGGATCTCCTCAGGCTTTAGGCCACCATGTTTGAAGCACTCCACCTGCTGCCTCTTCCTTTTCTAACCTGGAGAGTGGTCCTTCCAGCTTAGGTTCTGACCAGAAGTCAGACTCTGCCCTGGTAACCTCTTGCTCACCCAGCCTCTAAGGAAGTGTTTTCCCCTAGAAGAGCAGACTTTTAGTTATCCTGAGCTGTGTGCAAAAACTCTGTGTGTACACACACATACACACACACACACACACACACACACACACTCTCTCTCTCTCTCTCTCTCTCTCTCTCTCTCTCTCTCTCTCTCTCTCTCTCTCTCCCTCCCTCCCTCTCTCCTCCTAGTGCTCTCCCTTCCAGACCTGTTTCTTCCTATTTATTAGAATAACAAAGGTTGGAGTCCCTGCTCTCAAAGAGCAGACTGTTCCAGTTGCCTTTGTACTTTCAGTTTGGCATATGGAAGAAACAGATGCTTATTGCCTTATTGATGGATGGCTAGATTGATCCCAGGAAGGTCGCCTTCCTTGGTTCCTTCCTGTGGGTAGTGCCTGACCCATCGTGGCCTCAGTAGTGCTTGGTTTTCACTTCTCTGATACACTCATTGTGAAATACTGTGTTATTATAGCTGTATCTGTCTATGTTTTATTCCCGTATAAGACTCTAAGTTCCATGAGGGCAGCAAAGATCATATCTTAAGTAAAACTTAAATCTTCTCTGGTGTCTGGCACAGGGCTTTAAATGCTCTGTAAATACTTAATAAATTTTGGTTGAATAAAATTGAATTTTCTTCCTCCTATTCTTTTCTTTTGCCTTCACCTTAGAGCTGCCAAGAGTTTGCTTGGTCCTATTGGTTATATCTCAGGAGAAAAACATTTTACCCCATACTTAATAAGGATGATTAATGCTTTCTTAGCATTTGTTCTTCCTTAGTAAGATTCAGGCCCTGTAGCCCTTATAACATGCCTCTTGTTCCCCACAAATGCCTGAAGATCAGGAACACAGACTCATTCAATGGAAGGGCCTGGACCTGACAGTCTTTCTCCTCCCTTCCCCCACCCTCTTACTGCAGAAATTGTCAATTATGAATTTGACAGCAAGGATCTCGTGTGCCTGACCCTGAGCAGTATCATCGGCGTCTGGTACCTGCTGAGGAAGGTGAGGGGGGGCAGGGCGTGGTCTTGAATCGGATTGTGGCAGCACCCCCTTTGCCTGATGGATGGGAGGAGGTAAGAGGGAAGACACCAGCTCCGCCAAGAGCTTGCTTCACCTCCCGGGCTGGGTGGGGGTACGTTGTTCTCCAACAGCACTGGATTGCCAACAACCTCTTTGGCCTGGCCTTCTCCCTCAACGGAGTGGAGCTCCTGCACCTCAATAATGTCAGCACAGGCTGCATCCTGCTCGGAGGCCTCTTTGTCTACGACATCTTCTGGGTGAGCTGCCCCGTGCTGGGGTTTCCTGGGATGGACAGGCTGCGGGAGTCAGGCTGAAGTCCCCTCGGCTGTTGCTGTTCTTAGAAAGCTTGGTTCTTGTTTCACAGAAAAAGATGTCAAAGAATGGTGAAGCTGGGAGGGCCCTTGGACATCATCTGCGTAAATAAAATGAGGGGGTTGTTCTAGGTGACATCTGAGGTCCCTTCCTGTTGTAGATCTGTGATCTCATCTAGTGTTCCACCTATAGTTTCCCAAGGTCATTGTAACAATGCTAGTTCCTAAGTGCCCTGACCAAGATCTGGTGGGTCAGAGGATGGAGAGGAGCTTCTGGGAAGCGCCGGCTCCTTCCCGATGATGCCAGAGTCCCTTGGTTGAATGGGGTTTGTAAGAACCTTCCTCCACGCCTCACGACCTCGTGGGTCTCTCTCACTCCTAGGTCTTTGGCACCAATGTGATGGTAACTGTGGCCAAGTCCTTTGAGGCACCGATAAAATGTGAGTAAACCCCTGCCCAAGGGACCTCCCATACCCCCTGGGCCCTGTTCTCTTCAGTGACCTGCAGCATTCTCAGGACTAAGCTCTTGCCCACTGAGAGCCTCAGCCCAACTCTGATACTAATAACATCTCACTGGGCTACAGCTGCTTATATTTTCCAAAGAACTTTTCTATCCATTCTCTCATTTGATCCATCTTTGTAAGGAAGACAGGGTAAAGGTTATCCCCATTTTTGTTGATGAGGAAATTGAAGCCTAGTTGAGGAGCAGCTAGGTGGCGCAACACATAAGAGTACTGACCCTGGAGTCAGGAGGACCTGAGTTCAGATCCGGCTTCAAACACACAATGCTTACTAGCTGTGTGACTCTGGGCAAGTCACTTAACCCTAATTGCCTCACCCAAAAAAAAATTTTTTTTTTAATTTAAAAAAAAAAAAGCGTAGTTGAGGGAAGTGGGATCTCACCCATCCTGTGCATGCACAATTGATTTTTTTTTTAGTCCAGGTGCAGCAGGGACAAAGATAATGTTATTAGGGAAAGAAGGATGCAGACAATGGTATATTAGAGGCCCTGGTTGGGAGTGGGCACAGGCTATGGGAAAGCCCACCCTACTCAACCTCAGAGCTTCTGCTCTGAGGGCTGTCCCTCACAGGCACAGGCCCTTAGTAGCCAGGCTCAGGGTCCAGTATTTCAAGATCCTGGTGTCCTTTCTTCCTTTGAAATTAGGCCCATTGCCCTTTGCTCAGGCATGTCTAGGTATAACTGTCCAGTGTCTCCTGTGGCAAGGCTGAATTTACAGGATCTTAGGTTTTAGGGATGGAAGGAACCTTAGAGATCATCTAGCCCACCTCCCGCATAACAGCTGCTACTAAAAATATTAACAATTCACACTTACATAGCATTTTACCAAGCATCTTTCTGACAGTAGTCCTGTGAAATAAGATATGCAGCTATGGTTATCCTCATTTGAGTAGGAAGGACCTCAAAGTTCATCCAGTTCAATAACCTTTTTAAGAGATTAGTAAACTTAGGCCGAGAAATTAATAATGATGGTGATGATGATAGCTAGCATTTGTGGAGAGCTTTTAAGATTTACAAAGCCCTTTATATATGCTATTTCTTTTGATCCTCGCTGCAGCCCTATCAGGTGTTATTATCCCCGTTTTACAGATGAGGAAACTGAGGCAAAAAGAGGCTTAAATGATTTGCCTAGGGTCATACAGCTAGTAAAAATATAAAGCTAGATTTGAACTTGGGCCCTCCTAACTTCAAATCCAATGTTCTTACCCACAGTGATACAATCTACTCCAAGTCATGGACCTCTGACTTCAATTCCAGTGTTCTTTCCATGACAAAATACTGCCTTGAAAAGGAAGGGAGAAAACAGAGGGCCCAAAGTAGGAAAGTGCTTTGCCCAAGGAGGCATAGCTGATATAGTAAAGGACCTAATATGTGAATCCAAGACTCTCGACTCCTTGGTTGAGGGCTCTCCCTATTTCTCAAAGTTGTTTGAGCTAATCAAACATGGGAGCTCCATCATGAGTGTATTCTACCCTGCTCTTTCCTAGGAAGTTTTCCTAACTACTAGCTAAGGCTCTTCCCCCTCCTCCTTTTCTCCTGCAGTGGTTTTCCCCCAAGACTTGCTGGAAAAGGGGCTGGAGGCTGACAACTTTGCCATGCTGGGGCTGGGAGACGTCGTCATTCCAGGTAATGCTTGAAGTTTGGGGGCAAGTGGGAAAAGCAGTCAGTAATCAGAGGAGAGTCTATGCTGAGAGAGAGGAAACAGTAACAACTTCACTCTTCCCCCATTCACCAGCCCCAGTTTCTTCCTCAAGACTCCTTTTTCCTAGTATTCTGTAGTTCCTGACAAAACATTTTTACCACTGTTATCTTCATATTCATACATGTTTTGTGGAAGAGGCTAAGTAAGTATTATATACATTTGGCACATGAGGAAGCTGAGGTCCAGAGAGTAAATGATTTGGCCAGTTGATTAATGTTGGGGTTGGAACTCCAACCCAGATTTCGTGGCACAAAACCGGCCATGCAGTTTCTGGGGTAAGCAGTTTTCAGGGCTAGAAACCCCCAAGCAGCCATGGAGGGAAAATGCTCTTAAAAAATTCTTTCTCTGTAGGCCCATCTCCCCTGCATCAAATGGGTGCCACCCAGCCAGACTGGGAGGTCCAGAAAAGGTAACTCCGCTTCTCAGTGAATCAGCAGGCCTTTGTTTCTTTTCCTGTGCCAAATGTCAAGGACGGGGCTGGAATCTGAGACCACTGTTTAAGTGTGTTTGCAACCACCCATGGGCACATATGCCCAGCTGTGGATACCTGAATGGTTATGACTGAATACACGAGCATTTTGTGTGTTTGACGGAAAAGGGCCATGTATGCAACTCACCCTGGGCACCTAGACGTTCCTGACTGTGACTTCATGCAGGTCTGTGAGCTTGACCTTTAATTGGCGTGAGTGCTGCCAGGTATGGTTGCACACAGGTACAGGGGTGGCTGTATTCATGGCTGTTGGGCAGGCTGGAAGAGGTCAGACTGTCTACCCTGAAGAGATGGGCTCTTGGAGGTTTTAATGAAAATAATACAGAATCAAGAGTAGTGAGCCTTGCCCTGTGAAAAGATGAAGAGGCCACCTCTTTGTGGGCACTTTGCAGTTTCAAAGCCCTTTCCAGTCCATTCTCATTTGATCCTCATGACAGCCTCGTGAAAGAGGGAGGCTGGTGGTTATTATCCATTTGACAAAGAAAGAAACCAGCATGGGGAAGCAGCTTGCCCAGAGTCCAGTAAGTGAGTCAGCTGGAGAGCCTGACCAAGAAGCCAAGTTCTCGGAGTCAGCATTTCTTGATGTTGGCCACCAGGTGGCGCAGTCTCCACATGCAAAATATCGAGAACTCTTCTGGTCTCTGCACGTCCCGTGGCCTCTCACTCACTCCCACCCCCATAGAAACATCTCTGCATCTACCTGGAGGGAGTTTTTTGAGTATTTTTGTTGGATAGGACTGTAGAGCTCATGTGGCCTAGCCCCTCTGTTTCACAGATAAAGAAGATGATGCTCAGAGAGCTTAAGGGATAGGTTGAGGACTGTGGGGCCCCTGCCTCCCAGGTAGCCCCCACCACCAGTCTCTGACTCTCACTTTCTCCCCTTAGGTATCTTCATTGCTCTGCTTCTGCGTTTTGACATCAGGTGAGCCCAGAAACTCAGGCAAATAAGAGAACTGAGGTGTCCTCAGCCAAAGCTATCTCCAGCCACCTTCCATACTACCTCTAGTATCCCACCTCCTTCCTCCTCCCAGAATGTTCTCACCACACGCCTAAAAGAGGGTGTCAAAGCTTTATTTGAGCCAAAACTAGGCAATGGGGAATTAGGCAGCCCTGGGCCAAGTCAGACTTAGTCCCAAGGTCTGAAATATAATTGTCTTAGAATTGAAAAGAATCTGAGATACTCTGTATTCCTACTTCCTCATTAGACCGAGTAGAAGCAGAGGCAGGGTGAGGGGAAATGTTCGACCCAGGGCGACAACCACATTCTCCCGTCTCCCAGCCTAGAGTTGCTTTGTCCTCAGGATGGAAGACAAGGGTTAATTTGGGTGGCCAAAGGCCCAGACTTGGAGAATCAGGAGAAGAATCTTGAAGGTGTTTTCCCCAGCCTTGACCAGCCAGGGCTACATTGTGGGCACTGAATAAATCTTGGTGTTGACAGGGAGGTAGGAAAAAAGATTGGATCATATAAGGAGACATGAGACTCAATGGTAACCTCAATACTTCAAAATCGAGTGACCATTTTTAAATCATTTTATGCAGAGCATTGTACTGAGTGGTAAGGAAACTCAAGTTTTTATAAGACACAGATCCTATCTTGTTAGAGTGCCACAGCCTGGTGACCAGTTCAGTTCAGCTGACATTTAATAGGTGTCTGTCATAAAGCCGCATGCTCTTCAACTGGATTGTTTAAAATAACGAGTTTTGAAGCAGCTAAGATAAGAGACTCAGAATTCCATTCATGTCTGTGTTGGACAATAAGCAACTTGGCATTTATGGGATACAGCTAAATTCAGCTTAGTTCATTGCAGCAAACATTACCTGCCCACCTTGTGTATACAAAGCACTGTTAGGTCCTGGAGATACAACAAGACCCTACCCACATAGAACTCACAGGCTAGGAGGGAAAACAGGACATGTACACAGAAAACTAATACACCACTGAATGTGACAGATGCATGGGAAAGATTCAGTTCAGAGATCTAAAAGATTTGAGGCAAAATTCACTAACTGGAGGGGGAAAGGAAAAGTTCACCAAAGAGGGGGCAGCTTAGGTGGACCTCAAGGATAGGATTTCGGTGACCAGAGCTGGAACAGGGATGGTCCAGGAATGGGAAGAAGAGTAAAGACCAAGGCATAGGACAACATGGAATGTATATTGGGGGGGTGGGGGAGGGATTGGCATCAACACTAGTTTAGTTGGAGATCAACATGAAGGAGAGGAGTAGGAGATGAGGCTGGAAAGGTAGTTTGGGGCCATATTGTGGAGGGCATCAGATGCTAAGCTTTTAAGAATTAGGCCTTTACCCAATAAGCACTAAAGAGCCAGGGAAGGATTTTTGAGGAGAGGAATTTTCAGAGCCAGACTATAGGAGAATGATTCAGGCATAGTCAGTAGGATGAGTTGTTGGGGGAGAGACAGGTTATCATGATGATCCAAGAACTAGATAAGGAGGACCTGCTTTGAGGTGGAAGCCATTGAGATGGAAAAGAGGGGGCAAATGCTAGAGATTTCTTGGGGGCAGAGAGCCTCCAAAGCAAAGAGCTTCAGTCTTCTCCTTCCCAGCTTCTAAGACCCCTGAAAGTATAAGGACCAAAGACCCATTGGAGGGAATAGAATCAGGAAGTCACTGACTGTCCTAACCCATCTCTCCTTCTTTGCTCACTGCAGCCTGAAGAAGAACACACACACATACTTCTACACCAGCTTCGTGGCATACATCTTTGGCCTGGGCCTCACTATCTTCATTATGCACGTCTTCAAACATGCCCAGGTAAGTGATAGGGCCAAGCCTATCCTGATGAGAGCAGCCCAGGAGCTGAGTTCTACCCACCGCCCATCTCTTCTCTACCCTCACCTTTTCTACTCCCTTTCTGCCCTCAGTTCAAGTTGGGATGGCCTGGTAAGAGAAACAGCAGGACATAGCAAAAAGAGTACTACTGGACTTGGAGTGTGAAGTCCTGGGTAAAGAGTTCATGCCCTTCCTGCCTTAGCTACCTTGAGTGGCTCACTTTCCTTCTCAGTATCTCAGTTTCCATATATGTAAAATGGGGCTAAGGATGCTTACACCAGTTACCTCAAAGGATTGTTAGGAAGAAAGTTCTTTGTAAACCTAACGCTCCAAAGAAATATTAGTTTCAGATTTTAAATCTGAAAGAGAAATGAAGAGTGAGAGCAAGAGTCACCAGCAGATGGCACTTCCCACTCCGGCCATCTTTTCCATGTGTAAGCCCTAATGTTACAGAGTCATGATCCTGTAGACTGGCATACGCCCCTTTTGAATAAAACATTTTCTCTTTGTCTATTTTGGTCCTTCCTGACCTTAGTTCAGGAAGGGGCAGGGGTGGGGGTTGGGGGTTGGTAGAAAGAGTGCTGGAGTTAGAGTCAGAAGACCTGGGTTCAAATTGTGGCTCTGCTGCTTAAGATCTTTGAGATATTGGTCAAGTCATTTTCTCTGGGCTTCAAGTTTCTTACTATCCAGTAAGGGGATTGGACCACAATCTCTCTTGGGTCCCTCTAGCCCTGAAATATATGACTATAAATTCTTTCATTTTACAGATGAGGAAACTGTGACTCCAAGAATAGGAAAATGCCTTCCCTGAAGTCCCTTAATAAGTCTGTCAGAGCCATTACTGGAACCTAGGCCTCCCACCTCTGGGACTGGCACATGAACCACTCCCCCTCAGCAGTTCTGCCTTTTCAACTTTGGATACATTTTGCAGTGCCATCCCTGGAGGGAGAAGGGAGGGATGATCTTCCCTGGGCAGGCAGGATTCATCACTTCACACCACTAGCCCCTGGTATTACTGCCCAGCTGGGTATCTCTAGGACGTTGTGCAGGGTCTGAGCAAATAAAGCATAGATTATCTGAGCTGGAAAAAACTTTCAAGGTCACTTAACCAATGGTCATTCTACAGATGAGGAAACTGAGGCCCAAAGAGAACTGGGTTTCCAGAGGTCTTGTTGATAGAAAAACCGACATAGCTTTGTAGGCTGTGTTC